TTTATCTGGTATTTTATTGACTTTAAACTGCATTTAAATAAGTAATATCTCAATTTATTGACTTTTTTCTTTGTTATTTTCAAATTAGAGTTGCTAAGAACATATGAATTATATTAAAGATAATTCATTTTCTATTTATTTAAAAAATGATTTCAAGAAACTATTTCAAATCTGTAAAGATTAGAAAAAATGATTTCAAGAAACTATTACACTTCTGTAAAATGCAACAAAAATATTTCTGGAATAATGCAGAAGCACTCTTACCTATAAAAAAGCAAAATGCATCCAAACAAATATTAATATTATATGACCTTATGCTTTCAGTGTTTAATTGAAATTTTTTTTCAGATGTCTGAAGACATATCTTAATTCCCATCTGACAATATTTGTAGTAAGCCCTACATATCTTTAAAATGAATCTTACTTATTCACATATTTGATTCATTTCATATGAAGTCTATTGTTTGGAAAATTTGGGCTTTTATTAAAGAAACTAAGAATTTTTTATAGTAAATAGTAAACTGTTATAAAAAATTATTTTGATCTTCTGAATGATAAATAAATTAGCACATAACTAAGATAATACTTCTCACAAACACCTACTAAAATTAATATGGACATACCAAGTGTGACATACCCCATGGTAATTCTTAATGTATTAGAATATAAAGCTTGGCTCAAATGCAATATATATTCATATTTTTTATGCAAATAAGTTAAATCCATCTCTATATAATAAATAACATATAACAAATATGGATAAGGACAAAATAAAATGTATAAAGAGATAATTAAGAATAATCATTTAATAATGGTTTAATTTAGTAGAATTAGTTCCAAGACATAAGCATAACTTTTTTTTCTAATTTTCTGTATCAATATGCAAATTCCCTTGAAACTATTAGCATTTACTTTACTAATTTCATTCTAAAAGTTATAAAGTATTAAAGAAAAAATTTTCAGCAACTGAAATATTTTAGACAAAGAAATTAATTCTATTTTCTGTAAGTTTTATCACTTTTAATAACAAACTAATAGACAACACACCCTATGAAATAAGCTTACTAATTAGGATGAAAACGCAGAAGACACATTCCAAATAATTCAAATATAAACTGTAGAAACATTTCATCAAAAATTATTTCATATATTTAAACACTATTTTATATAACTTTTTCTTTAATACTTATGTTGAATGTATTACTTTCAACTAAAAATATGTGATCAGCAACTACTTATTTTCTTTCTATGAATCTCTTTGAATTTAAGGAAATGTTACTTCCAAATGAAACAACCTGATCCTAAATTAAAATGATAGGCTAAAATCAATTTCTTCCAAAATACAGCTGCTAGACATGCCAAATATATTCTATGTAATGGGTATACTTTTATCAGTGCCTATAATTACATACAAAATTAATATTTAATCGATAAGTGCCTTGGCCTTGATATCAATTTGCAACTCTTTCTGAAAAACTTTTATATCTTCTCTCTAAAAAAAAAAAACGCTTTCCCTTGTAAATTCATATTACAGTCTGAGGCAGCAATATTTAATTATATTTCCAACATGAATTAACAATTATTATGCCAACAACAGTTGCTACTATCACAAAAGATAGCATAAACAAACATATTAAAGACATTTAAAGGAGATTTTTAGTGTCTCAGTAAAAGACAATACAACTTCAAATACTTTTATAAGGCTTTAGATAAAATTAATATATGGGAATAATATATACACATTAATAAATGAAAATTAACATAAATCACATGTTAACACATAAAACTTACCAGCAAGTGGGGAGTTTCAGAAGTTTACCATAAAGAGCAGTGCTGAAAGAAGGAATAATTGGTACAGGTAAGCAGTAACACCCACTACAATCCAAAGATGTAAGTCCTGCCTGGAGACCAAATATCTGAAAGAAAAAGAATAGGTCCAAATGTTCACAAAGTTTTAATAAGCATGGATGAAACATGTCAATTTCAATTTGCTGTACAACAGCTGTACACTAAACATGCTCCAAAGTCTTTTTTCCACTTTCCAATCAACATTTTCATTTATTCAATGACATTAAGTTAAAATCAAGACATCTAAATATGGAATGTTTATTTCATATTTTTGATGAATTTTTTAAACTTCACATTCTATTTCTGTACATAATCCTCATGTAGTTGTTTTATTATCCAATATAGGTACATCTTTTCCACAAATATAAACAACTGGTTATGTTTTCTACATTGTATAGTATAAATTCAATAGATTAGTGTTAATGTTATATGACTAAAATTGACATTAACTACAGAAGAACAATCCTAAAAATGTATTTTGCCTTTAACTTCCTTATGCACACACAAAAAGCATATGCAAAAATATCCTAAAATGTTGCTTATTTTCCCTTTCTTTTGTGAAAATAATTGCAGAGTTGAGGTTTTATACCCCAGGTAATTTAGTACATGGCATAAACTATTCTTTTCATGGTTACATTTGAAGTGAACAGTTCATACTAAAATATTTTTATAACCAATCCCTGGTTAATGAATTCCTGGACACTATATTTGTCTTAATAGAAAGAAACAACATAATATCACATTTTACATAAAACATTATAGGGAACTGATGGTATTCTGCTCAAATTATTTCAAATATAATAAAAGATAAACATTTTCACACTGGAAACACTGACACACAGGGATACAAAAGAAAGTTATTGTTTTCCAGTTATATGAAAAAGCCTCTTAATTCAAACATTTATCTTTAGTTATTATTTTTCATTCCTTGAGTTTATGAAATTGACTTATCTCTGGGATTACTAAGGATTAACTGTTAAATTCTAAACTAAACTATGTTTAAAGGATCTTCATAACTAATTTTCAAAACAAACTATTCAATGAACAAAAAATAACGATCATTTTCTTTAAAAGTATTAATATATTTCCAAATACTTTCAAAATCTGTTATGTCCCTAACATTCATCCAACTAACAATGTTAAATTCTTTCTTCTAAAATCATTTTTCAGTGAACAAAATAATGTTTTTGAAATAAGACAGTATTAAGAATTATATTTTCAGAAAAAACAGTATTCCAAAGGATCTATGTACCTAATTACTATGAAGGAAAATAAAAATGATGCACCCATTAATTCCTGTAGGTCCTGCTATTAAACAATTGACAAGTACAGAATTGAGAAGAAAAGAAAAAGGCATGTTTAAAATACTAAAATTATTTTTTAATTATAATTTTAAAATTAAGGTTTTTCACATTCATTCTTTTTGAAGACCTCTTCTGAGCAATAATCTATGCAAAAAACTGTGGTGGGAAATGTATAATTTCAACATTTCATATTTTTCTCATAAAGGTCTATATTCAAAGGGCTCTGAAATTTACAATTATTAATATGACAATGTAAAACACAACTATTAAAACAACACCTACTCTCCAAATATTTCTAATGTTATGAATTAGGGTAGTTATTTTATCATATCATATTATCTGTGTTCAACTAAAAACGCTTACAAAGCCACTTTCTGATTTTCTTTTGAACGCCCCAACAGTATAATCTCAGATACTATCTTTAACCATGCTCAGAAGGAAACTGGGTGCAGAGGAGATCCCCTGCTGGTTCCGGGTAGAACTGCAAGGGCCTGAGGGAAACTGCATACTATTTTACAAATACAATTTTTTTTTAATTTTTATTATATTTTCATATTGTCCAGTGATACTTCTAAGGAAAATTCAAGCAGGTAAAAATTACAATGAAAGATGGCCTAGTGGATAAATAAATAACTTGCCAAATTATTATAAAGAGTCATATTATCTTGTTATCTATCAAATCAAAAACAACTATTTAAAAAAAAATTCTAATTTATAGCAATCAGATACACAGTGTATATTCTACAATTGATAGAGTACATTTACATTTATATATATATATGTATACACACACACATATATTTCATATATCAGATTCCTTGCAATATCTTAGGTATTCAATGCCACACAAAATCAAAAGATGGATAACTAAATAAAGAGATAAGACATAATAAGTTTCATCTCTAGGGATTAGGAAAGGTTGAAGAGATGTTGGGCAAAGATATAAAACTTGAGTTAAATAGAAGAATAAATTCAAGAGATATACAACACAATAACAATAAATAATAATTCATTATATCTTAGAAATTGATAAGAGAGCAGATTTTAAGTGATCTCTCCAGAAAAACATGTTAAATTAATAAGGTATGATATATGTTAATTAGCTAGTTTGAGCAATTCCATAACATATACATATTTTAAAACATTATGTTGTACACAATACATGTAAATTTCCATGGCAATTAAAAATTTTCATCTGCATGTTTTCTACACACCCTCATGCCAACTCTGCTAATAATTAAATTTCATTATATACAGTAGGTAAACAATAAATCATTTCATCAATATAGTTAACTATACAAAATTAACATTCAAGCATTTGAGTATTTAATTAAAAATCACTTAAGTTTCATAATGCCAAACACACATGAAATATTTAACTCCTCTACTGTAACATTACAATACTGTAACATCAAAAGTAAATTTTTGAAAACTTCCTCAAAAGTTCTGAAATTATCCCATGTAATATGAACTGCAACAAACTCAATAGCAAATCAGTAAATCAAGTCAATCCAAATAGCTATATAAACAAAAACTATCTCCAGAATCCTGAAAGTATTAAAATATGCTATGCCACAGAAGAAGTATCAAAAAATGAAACAAAATATTCACAACAAGGCTCAAGGCTTTATTTTTTAAAGTATTCAGTATTCTTAACACCAACGAATAGTTTTTCTATATATAGTATATAATTCCTACTCTGCCCAACATCTTATTTCCTGGGACATAAAACTTATCCATTATACTTGTAGTCAAACTGACCAAAATATAAAAGACAACTAGGCTGAATGAGTGGCAAAAGCCCTTTTCCGAGTTTTCAGAGATTCTTTCTGCTGAGCTAGGAGACCTATGGTTAGGTTCTCAGAGTTTCCTGGCAGCATGGCCCCCAAACGCCAGTCTCCACTCCCACCTCAGAAGAAGAAGCCAAGACTGCCTAGTGCTCCCAGACCGGAGGACACCTCAGGCTCTCAGGGATTGCCAAAAAAAAAAAAGAAAAAGAACAGTAGGAAGCAATTGAACATATTGATGAAGTACAAAATGAAATAGACAGACTTAATGAACAAGCCAGTGAGGAGATTTTGAAAGGAGAACAGAAATATAACAAACGCCGCCAACCATTTTTTCAGGAGAAGTCAGAATTGATTGCCAAAATCCCAAATTTTTGGTAAACAACATTGGTCAAGCATCCACATGTGTCTGCGCTGCTTGGGGAGGAGGATGAAGAGGCACTGCATTATTTGGCCAGAGTTGAAGTGACAGAATTTGAAGACATTAAATCAGGTTACAGAATAGATTTTTACTTTGATGAAAACCCTTACTTTGAAAATAAAAGTTCTCTCCAAAGTATTTCATCTGAACAAGACAGGTAAGCCATCTTCAAAGTCCACTGAAATCAAATGGAAATCTGGCAAGGATTTGATGAAATGTTCCAGTCAAACACAGAATAAAGCCAGCAGGAAGAGGCAGCATGAGGAACCAGAGAGCTTCTTTACCTGGTTTACTGACCATTCTGACGCAAATGCAGATGAATTAGGAGAGGTCATCAAAGATGATATTTGGCCAAATCCATTACAGTACTACTTGGTGAGTTGAAAATGTTCACTTATTCAAGGTGATGTTTGTTGTTTAATAATCATTGGTAAGGTAACCCTTGGTTTTTTAAGGTTCCTGATATGGATGATGAAGAAGGAGAAGGAGAAGAAGATGATGATGACGATGAAGAAGAAGAAGGTTTGGAAGATATTGATGAGGAAGGGGATGAGGATGAAGGTGAAGAAGATGAAGATGATGATGAAGGGGAAGAAGGAGAGGAGGATGAAGGAGAAGACGACTAACAGAACACTGATGGATTCCAACTGTTTTTAAAATTTTCTCCAGTCCCTGGGAGCAAGTTGCAGTCTTTTTTGTTTTTCCTTTTGTGCTCAGTCGCCCTGTTCTTGAGGTCTCTTTTTTCTACACCATGATTCTCAACTTATTTTGGGGGGAAATACCTTGAACAGAATACAATGGGGAAAGAATCTCTACCCTTTTCTGTTCCAAATTTATTTTTATCCCTTCCTGTCTCAACAAAAACTGTATGGAATCAACACCACCAAGCTCTGTGGGAAAAAAGACAAACCTGCTCCCTTCGCTCTGCTGGAAGCTGGAGGGTGCTAGGCCCCTGTGTAGTAGTGCATAGAATTCTAGCTTTTTTACTCCTTTCTCTGTATATTGGGCTCAGAGAGTACACTGTGTCTCTATGTGAATATGGACGGTTAACATTTACCAACATGTATCTGTCTACTTTCTCTTGTTTAAAAAAAGAAAAAAAAAACTTAAAAAAAAATAGGGTATAGAAGGTCAGCAGAGGGTGGGTTTGAGATGTTTGGGTGGGTTAAGTGGGCATTTTGAAAACATGGCTTCTCCTTTGGCATGTTTAATTGTGATATTTAATAGACATCCTTGCAGTTTAAGATGACACTTTTAAAATAAATTCTCTCCTAATGATGACTTGAGCCCTGTCACTCAAATGGGAGAATCAGCAGAACCTGTAGGATCTTATTTGGAATTGACATTGTCTATTGTAATTTTGTTCTGTTTATTTTTAAATTTTCTTTTTGTTTCAATGGAAAGGAAAGATGATGCTCAGTTTTAAACGTTATAAGTGTACAAGTTGCTTTGTTACAATAAAACTAAATGTGTACACAAAGGGGAAAAAAAGCCCTTTTCCCAAAATACAACTACATCTAGGCAACACTCTAACTAACTTTTACATTACACTGGAAATTTAAGAGAGCTTTAAAATACTGCCAAGTAGAAATGGTAAACAACTATTCCAATTCTTACGTTAGCGTGAATGATGACTATACTGATAACAAATGACTTCACTGATCATTTCCCTTAAGGACAGAGACATACCTTATTTATCTTATATATTTATCTATTGCTAAAGGTCTGCAATACAGGAAGAACCTAATATTTGCCAAATGAATGAATCCTACACTGAATATCTTGAAAAGATTCGTGAAATGCCTAAAATTAGATCTACTTCAAAAAAACAAGGCAATGTCTAAACAAATAAATGCATGCAAAAATTAAGAATTTTCCTCAGTAGTTATAATTTTTACATATTAGTGTGATTAGTTTTGCATATGACCTACATTCTCATGTTCAAGTTTACCAATTTAATCAAAATTACTTTCAAGAATAGAAGAACAAATAATAGTTGAAAGATAATATACTCTTGGAAGCCAAAAAATGAGGAAAAGCAACACAGTATCTGCTTGAAAGGTTGTCTGAAATAAGGATTAAGTATTCTGACCCTAAACAATGAAAGTCTTAATATTGAAAGTGCTGCGGAAGAGTAATAAGGAAGAACATAATTTCTGGGATTGTGAGATCAAATTGAATCTAGGCAAATTAGGGTAAGGCATTTGGAGACACTTTCCTCTCTTTCAGGTTTCCTGGAAGGAGTGCACAGGAATAAGACAGTAAATAATAAATGGGAGAAAATACCACAAAAATTAAGTCTAAAGAGTATTTTTGCTAAATGATATGTAAACAGGAAAAGTAAAGAGGATAGATATGTATTATGAAAAAAAAACTATAGGTGAACTGTAAGGATCAACTAATTAGAGTATTTCATTTTTTATTCATTTAATTAATGATATTAAACTTTTCGCTTTGTTTTTGAAGACAAGGTCTTACTCTATTGTCCAAGGTACAGTGCAAGTGGCACAATTACAGCCAACTGCAGCCTCAAACTCTTGGGCTTAGATAATCCTCCTGCCTTAGCCTCATAAATAGCTGGGACTACAAGGCATGGACCGCCATGCTTGGGTAGAAATAATTTTATTTTCTATTTTTTTTTTAGAAACAGAGTCTTTGTTTCCCAGGCTGGTTTCAAACTCCTGGCCTCAGCAATCCTGTTTCCTTGGAATTCCAAAGTTCTGGGACTACAAGTATGAACCATAGCATCTAGCTGAAGGTTTTACTTTAACATACATAAGTGTGGGAGTATGGATGTATGTTTCTGAACTTATGACACAGGATTTTGAGAAAGATCTAGATGTACACTGTCAAATACACTATCCTCTTGGCACATATGGCCAACAGACATTTGAAACGTGACTAGTCATAACTAATACATGGGTCAAGTGCGGTGGCTCAGTCTGTAATCCTAGCACTTTGAGAGACAGAGGCAGGTAGATTGTTTGAGTTCAGGAGTATCAGGCTGAGACCAACCTGAGCAAGAGTGAAACCCTGTCTCTACCAAAAATAGAAAAACTAGCAGGGCGTGTGGCCAGTGCTTATAATCCCAGCTACTTGGGAGGCTGAGGCAAGAGTTTTGAGGCTGCTGTGAACTATGATACCATGGAACTCTAGGCTAAGGCACAGAGTGAGACTTTGTCTCAAAAAAAAAAAAAAAAAGATATACTGTTAAGTATAAAATACATAATAGATTTAGAAGACTTGGTACAAAAAGAAAATGTAAAATATCAATTTTATATTGATTATATAGTAAATGTTAATATTTTAGATATAATAAAATATTAAATAGATTAAATAAAATACATTATTTTTTTTGTTGTTTTTGACAGAGCCTCAAGCTGTCCCCCTGGGTAGAGTGCTATGGCATCACAGCTCACAGCAACCTCCACTCCTGGGCTCAAGCGAGTCTCCTGCCTCAGCCTCCCAAGTAGCTGGGACCACAGGCACCTGCCACAATGCCCCGGCTATTTTTTTGGTTGCAGCCGTCATTGTTGTTTGGTGGGCAGGGCTGGATTCGAACCCACCACCTTAGGTGTATGTGGCTGGCGCCTTAGCCACTTGAGCCACAGGCGTCAAGCCAATAAAATACATTATTAAAATGAAAAAACAAGGCAAACATTCTTAACACTATAATCTGACATTCAACTTGTACCATTTTTTTTCAGTACATATACTTTTTTTATTAAATCATAACTGTGTACAATTATGAAGAACAATGTGATTATTTGATATACAATGTGGAATACTTAAATCAAACTGATTAACATAGCCATCATCTCACTTATTTGTTGTTGTAAGACATTTATACTATTCTCTTAGTAGTTTTGAAATGTACCATTGTATTGCACACAATAAGTGAGGTCCCACCAAACACCTTCTCTCCCTTCCCCTCTTTTTTTTCTCCCCTCCTTCCTTCTGGACTATAGTTATGTTTTATCATTCATATGAATGTGTAGGTGATAATATTTTGGTTTCATAATAGTATTGAGTTCATTGGATACTTTCTTTTTCATTCTTGAGATACTTTACTAAAAAGAATGTTTCAGTTCCATCCAGGTAAACATAGAAGTTGTAAAGGCTCCAGCATTTTTATGGCTGCATAGTATTCCATTGTATACATATACCACAATTTGTTAATCCATTCATGGACTGATGGACATTTGGGCTGTACCAATATTTTAAAAAATCGTGTACCTCTCTATATTAATTGTGACAATGAATTAGAAAGCACAAATATAAAATAGTCTCTGCATATCTAGTTTTCTAAAACACTTTACACTATTCACTTACATGACATATGATACTGTGGTATATCATTATAATAACTGCCCTAATGAGGCACACTTCCCTATGTTCACATCCTTTTGGAATGTAATAATGTTGCTCTTCCACCAAAGAAACCATCTTTTTATTTTCTCCTTGAGATAGAGTCTCACTCTGCTCCCCAGGCTAGAGTGCCATGGCAACAGTCTATCTCACAGAAACCTCAAACTCCTAGCTTCAAGTGACCCTCCTGCCTCAGCCTCCCAAGTAGCTGGGACTATAGGTAACCACCATAGTATCCAGCAAATTTTTCTTTTTAGTGGAGATGGGGGGGATTTCATTTTCCTCAAGTTGGTCCCAAACTCCTGAGCTCCACCAATCCTCTCACTAATTTCAATATTTTTTATAGAGACAAAGTCTCATTATGTTGCTCATGTTGGTCTTGTACTCCTGGCCTCAAGTGATCGTCCTGCCTTGGCTTCCCAGAGTGCTAGAACTACAGGCATGAGCCACTGCACCCAGCCAGGAGCCACCTTCTTGAAAAGGGCTTTGCAAAGATATCTAGAAAAACATGATATACTATTTTATATAGTTTGAAAACAGTTTAATTTTAATGTCTTAAACTTAAGTACACACATAGGTGATCTAAAACTGGTCTGTTTAAATTGTTTTCTCTTTACAATATACAAATACATAAAAACTTCAAAATACCAAACTACAAAGCAGGAACCAATAAAGTCAGGGGTCTCATCTTTTAATACATTATATGAAAAGCATGACTTCAACTTTTAATGGTTTCCTTTGATTCATAAAACAGAATTTGTTTAGGTATGTATTATCTCTACTTAAACCACCCATCTGTTTGCTTAGCAAAAATGTTATTCAACATTTGCATTTATTGTCTGTATATACCTGTACTGAAATGGAAAAATAAAAGGAAGAGCTGAGCAAAACTTCCAAATTCACTTTGCATACCTGTACAAACATACCCGGGAGATATTACAGGTTTGGTTCTAGACCTCTGTGATAAATGGAATATCACAACAAAGCTAGTCTCACATACTTTCTGGAAACTATCCTGTCGTCTGTTAAATGTATAATAACATTATGTCTAAAATACGTATATACCCAAACTAAAAAGCATTTTATTGCTAAAAAATTCTAACACTCATATAGACTTCCAGTAAGTTGTAATTGTTTTGCTAGTGGAGTCTTCGCTGCCTCATCAATGTTGATGGCTAATGACTGACTAAGGTGGTGGTTGCTGAAGGCTGGAGCACCTGTGGCAATCTCCTAAATTAAGATAAAAATGAAATTTGCCACATCAACTAACTCTTCTTTTCAAAAATGATTTGTCTATGGCATGGGATTCTATCTGATATCATTTTACCCCATTAAAACATCTATTAAAATTGAAGTCAATTCTTTCAAGCCCCCTACTGGGGCTTTATCAACCAAGTTTATGGAATTAAGTTTATGGAAAGGATTTAGAATTAAATCCTTTATTGTCCCTTCAAAAATGTTCACAGTATCTTCACCGGGAATAGATTCCAACTCAAGAAACCACTTTTGTTAGAGCAGGAAACTAAGAAAAAGGGCTGAGACTGGATGCATGGGCTTGCATGCATTGGGTGCAGGTGTTACAAAACACTTAAGCAGAAGGTTTCTAGAGCAGGTGGTAACTGCAGACAAGAACTGGCTTCAACCAGCTTATCAGCTATCTTTGCCACCTCACATGAACTTTGGCTAATTACAGTATCATTTACATTGTGGTTTAAAATTTCTCCACCTTTGAAATTGCTGTAACAACTCCAAAATAACCACATAAAGTATGAAAATCATAGGGAACCCAATTATTACTCAAATTCTTAGTAAAAGCCAACACCTTTACCTTGAATATTCCTCCCCTAAATTATTAAAACCACAAAAGAGCTAAAACCACTCCTCCTGGTTCAGCTGCTCTCTTTTCAGTTGTTCACTATCTTTCCCAAGAGTATACTTTCACTTTCAATAAAAACTGTCACTTGTTTGGCTTATGTAGTATATCCTGAAATTCTTTTCCCTACAACTACCAAGAACTTGGAGAAATCTCCCTTCAGAGTCTGGTATCACCTTTGTGGCAAGCCATTCAGGAGATGTCATGTAAGCCTTGACTCTCAGACCAAACTTT